AACATCACACAAAGCATGCTATGAGCATGTACAGTTGGAATGCTTAAATTCAACCACAGTATAAAGAATTGGCTTACAACAGAATTGAGACTGAACTAATGTTTACACAATCAAGTGATCTAGCAAGTGAAAAGATTACAGTTTATGCATAATGGCTTCAGGTTTCTATATGTCTCTTTACCAAAAGCAAGAAGAAATTACTAAGCAATATATATTTTTTGTGTGAGACACATTTCATATTTCAGATGCAACACACACAGTTCAGAATCACAATTTGTTCCATGCATACCAAAAGCTATAGCAATTTTGTCTACTCTAAATATTCTCAGAAATGAATCTGACAAATATTGGTATACATATTTAAACTTACTGAATAACATTCCAAACTAGGAAGACAAAAACATATTCATCACAAAATTATCCAATAAATCACAAGAAAATCTACTGTCACATCAGGTACATTATTAACTACTGAAAACAGCTACCTTGTGAAAGGCAGTCGATATGAAAGTGTCTGTTCGCATACAATCTCCAATAGGAGCAAAAAACAGGCCCAAACCTGAACCTAAAGCAACAATATCCTACATTTGAATGTAGAATTAAAACAAAATTATTTCAAAGCATTTCAAAAATTAAATGCCTTAGTGTGAGTTGCCATAACTAACTCCGAAAACTTTGGATGATATCACAAAGACTTTTCTGTCACATCATCATGACCACTTGCTGCCAAGCAAATAAAATACATGTATATTTACATATAACTACAGTAAAGAAACAATCCATTATTGAAGTCACGAACTGTTTCTTTTTGTTAATAAAGCTCAACTAAATTTCATGTTTAAAATAAACAGTCTTAAATAAATGAAACACACAAAAAATACATAAATCTTGCTCGATCATGGCTAACGGGTTAATCATGATCTTTTGCCTGTAGCCATTGAAACTAGCATCTGTTGAAAGTCAGCAAGTTCTTGACCTAACATATCGAGACCTTGCCCTGACACAGGTGCAGGTGAATTATCATGCATGTTTACAGGTAGGGGGGCTGATGCAACTGATGCAGAACGTGCATTTTCACCACTTGTGCCATTGCGTGCACTGGCTGGGGTAGAAGTAGGTTCCTCTCCCAAGAGCTGAGATCCCACACCCACCTGCGGGTCACGTCTACTGTCAACCACATCTCCAGCTTGGGAACTTCCAACATGAAGCTTATCTTTTGACAGATTTACTCCGTATTTAACAGCAGTAGGTCCAACCACAGTCTTCTGGGCTTTCCCATCACTGGGAATAGAGTCTGCAGGTTGTGCGCTGTCCGGTCGACGAGCTGCCACCACTTCTTTCTTTGGAGGTACAACAGGTTTGTTGGGAGGAACAGGAGGAGGAATGCCACGGCCAGGAGGAGCTGGCTTCTTAGGAGGGGGCTGAGGTAAATTGCCTCCAGCTGCAGAAGCAGCGGCTGTTGCTGCTGCCACGCTGATAGATGTCGATTCAGCAGGCTGAGACATGCCTGCATTGGTAGTGACATGGACAGTCAGCTTGTTCCCTTGAGTTGTCGTGAACAGCTTGGTGCCCGGAGAAGCAGAAAGACTCACTCGTGGAGTCACCTGCACCACCTGAGCCTGTGGCGTCCTCTTGTCAACCACCTGGTGAGGTACACACGACGTCACACCCAAGGCCAAAATGCCTACATACAATTTCTAGCAAAGGTAATGTAGGAAAATGCTCCCAAATCAGCTAAAATAAATGTTTCGATTGCAAAATACACTGTCATGTCTTAAGTGAGTGTCAAGTATGAAGAGTGTTTTCCATATAATGGAAGACAAATTGTAAACAGTAACTTAATGCCACTCTTTATCACATTCCTGAATGAATCCCAAGAACTGTCCCAATACATATAAACTCATCTGATTAATATAAAAAAGAATGGTAAATAAAAACTAAAAAGGATATGACTCAATTCAGATCATGTCCAATGTTTTCACAATCTTCACATAATAGATCTATTGTTCAAATATCAACAGAGCACAATTTTCTTTCGTAAGTCAAAGGTCAATCTAATATGTAAGTTTGTTAATCTTTGAAATATATGAGAGTAAAGAGTTCCAAGGGGGAAAAAATTCAGAAAATGTCTCACAGAATGGGAAAAATGATTAAAAGAAAAGGAAGGATTGCAATAAAACCAGAAATATACTCAACCAGATCAACAAGATAAACAGAAGAAAGAAATCATCTGAAAGGAGTCGATAACAATTGTACATAATTATGCATGTCAAAGTAATTTCGTTTATCTTGGGAGAAAAAAAATTCCTGTAAAAATTTATCCTGTAATGTAAATTCTCCTTATTAAATTCATTCAAATAATGATTTATATTAAACAATTGCTTCCGTCTTCCATTGCTTCACAAATTCTAGGAAAATGAGAGTTTTATCAGTGTCTCACCAGAACTCAAAACACTCGTAACAAAGTTATAGAGAACTTGTTTAAAATATTATAATGTGTAACTGATTAATTAAATCAGTAATTCTATTTCAAAATGAAGACAAAAATGACTACAATAGTACAATAAATACTTTACAGTTGGGAGTGTAACAATAGAACATTGGACCTACTTTTCAAACACGAAACTATGTAATTTTTTTATTTCAGGCCCTAGAACGTACCTAAAAAATGTGTAAGTACTTGCAAGTTGAATAAATCTAGAAATACCTTCGTTTTGATATGTCCCTGAAAAGACTAAATCCTACTCTCGTGAACACCAAGTAAATTGTGCACCCTGACACAAAGCACATATCACATATCATACTAACAAATATAACTTATATTTTAATACTAAAGAAATACCTTTCTTATAATGTAACAAAAGCTGTTTCACAAATTTTGTATATAATTGTGAAGCACATTATATCAACAAACACAAATATCGGCACCAATATGAATTCAATACTGGATTTCTCTCAAAGTGCTTCCCTATTTCCCTCTGTAAACATACATTGCAAATATATCAAACATCACTGTTAAATTTTCAATCTTCTTCAACAAAAGGTAAATTACAATATGATTTTGAAGATGATACTAACAAACTGTTGGGCAGTTCATGTAAATTATTTACTAAATAATGATTAAAAAAGAACTCTCTGGGAACCCGGATACTAACAACAAACAGCCCCTGGCCAAAAGTGATAAAAAGTGACGAGTTACGACTTGTCTGATGTATGACTAACATATGTTAACATAAAACCTCCTCTTAAAAAAAAAAAAAAAATCATTTAATGGTCTATACTATTGCAAACTTCTGAAAAATTAATCTAAAATAAAAATACATCAAAATCAAAACCTACAAACATAAATAAATTACTGTACGACATTTTTGGACACTTCTCTGAATGAAGCCTCCATTCATTTAATCCAGTCAATAGAAGCCAGGAGTCGGTTGCAAACATATAAACAAAGAAAATATAATTTAAGAATTTAAGATAATAAAAAGATGATTAAAATACACGAAATTTTAAAATATGCTTGTTAAACACACAAGTGAAAAAATAAAATTACTGTCAGATAAAATAATAACTTGAATTGCTTTAAAAGCTTTTTGTAATATTCTATATACTCAATGAAGTATGTGCTTTGCGTGTATACAGTTTAAAAATGCTCATTTCACAATGATGTTCACTGCATAAAATAAATTCCTTACACTATGACAACACATTAGTTCAATAAATTGCAGCCCCTTCACACAAAAGACAGCATTTTTCTATACATTCCATTACGAGTACAAACTTGAAAGCTTGTAAACCATGAAACATTTCACATGCAAATTAACCACCTCAGCAAGTACAGTATTTTTCTCATTCTTAAATTTCCACAAATCCCCAAACCTTTCCCAATAGAGTACATTGCAGATCAGTGCATATCATTAAATTAAAAGCATTTGAGTTCAAGGTAATAATTGACAAATTAGTACCTAGTAAGTGGTTAATCAAATACATTATAAGTAATAAAATGGTATTTAAATTAAGTCATGAGAGTTGAATGTACATGTAATGATCCAATGACAAAAGATAAATGGAGAAGCTTATTATACACTAGTAGAAATATAAAAATGAAACCGTTACCAATACTATTTACAGAAAAGTAAATGCTGTTAAATAAAGTTTGTTCAGATTTCATATAATAATCTGGTAAAAACCATAAAGCATATCACAATAGTAGCATCCTTAAAGAATAATCCAAATTGTTAACATTACTATGATATTTAATCATTTACAAAAGCTTCAACCTATTTGACTTATATTCTTAGTTTCACTGTGAGCATTAGAAAAAGCTCAGTTTAAGAAAGGGATTTCTTTTCACAAAGACAATAGATTCACTTTAAAAAAAGGAAAAGTACTTTTTTGAATTCAAATGGGTCACAGAATGCTCTGCAAAATGAGAATGGATCAATTTTTAATGATTTTTTTAACAAGGAAAATAGTACAGATAAACAGTTTTTATGTGTTATGCTTTATATCATCTTTCTGTTTTCTAATATGTGGCCATCCATACTTGATTAGCGAATTTACATGATCGAATATTTATTGGATGTTCAGAAATAAAGATTGCTGTCCAAGTGATCTTGCACAAGCAGAACAAGGAAAGGAAGCCATAAAGAAATACTCTTAATTAAGGAAGCAAATGGCAGAATATTTGTAGCAAGCAAATACAATCCAACTTCCATGTGCAACATTATACACAGAGCAATGAACCACATAAAATGGCATTTTGAAGAATAAATTTTGTCACGTCCAATGAACAGTCACAAAAAGTTCTTAATACATACTAAATACGTAATATTATTTTCAAAACTCAAGGGACATTCTTAACAAAAAAATATACAAATACACAGGTTTTGCAATCTCCTTTCAATGAAATATAAATTAAATTAAGTGAGAAAATTTGATCATGAATCCATGAATACTTCTAATTTTTACGAAGTACCATTGGTTTCTCAATGATACTTTACCTGAGTAGTAGGAGAATCACTTGGGGCTGATGCTGACGGCCCACCAGATGATGCACCACTGCTACCAGACCAAGCTGCTGAATCCCTTGCAGGAGCAAGAACTCTTGAATCAGGAACTGTGGTGGGGGAATACGCAATATTTCGTAGTCCTTGCCCAGGAGAAACTGATCTTGCAATGCCAGTTGCTGCAAAACATGCATTGTGATTACTTCCAGTTTCCCTCATCTGTAGAGTTTTTAATAATAATAATAATAATAATAATAATAATAATAATAATAATAGTGGTAAGAAAAATTGTACAATTTCCAAAATAATTTTGAAATTAAAAGCAAATATTTTCAGTTCTTACATAAGCAATTTGTAGTTTCCATTACTCATAACTGTTCAAACATAAAAATGAATTAACAATAACATTTCAGCAACAGAATGAGAATTCACCTTAATTTACAATTACATAATTTAATCATGACTTATTAAAGGGCTTAACTCCAATATTAAAATATTTTATGCTGTGCATGTTGTTAGGTTCCTTGCAAAAAAATACATATGTTGGTAATAAAATGACTTTAGTCCAGATCATATTCACCAGGTTCTGAAGCATGAATCTTTTTATGCAGTGTTAATATGATCTGTTCAGGCCAATAGACAATTTTTCTGATACATTCTAAAACAGTTACGCATCTGAAGGCTGCTTAACTGCAAAATGTCTTTCGCCTGCCAAATAGGTTGGAGCGCCAAAAGGTTTTCTTGCATTGTAAGTACATAAATACGTAAATATCATGCAAACATTGGATGGTGGAATAACAAGAATAATGAGTAAAATTGCTAAAGCACAAGCATCAATAAGTGTCAAAAAATCGTTCTGAACTGAAATCGCTCTGATCAGAATCGCATGGCTGAACAAACAATAGGACGTACGTTGTTTTATCATCACAATGTATTTGTGAACACAGTGGAAACCATTTTGCACTAATATCCTTCACATTCCCCCATCCAGAAAACATCTTATATTAGACACTGCTACAAAAATTATCACTACAGTAAAAATGGTTGAATACGTGAAACAATATATTTCAAATGACACGAAAACACAGGCAACGGAAACTAAATGTTTTATGTCCAGACTTCAAAGTCAAAGTCTATAGTTTTGAAAGAAAGTGATTTCACCTAACATTAGCATCGAAAAATAAATTTTCCTGAAAGAACCTGCCTTCCTATAAAGAAAATTCTTAGTTAATTCCTTCAAATAATAATTTAGACGAAACAAATGCTTTCATCCACTAACAAATTCCAGGAAAAAGAAAGTATTATTACAGTCTCACCAAACTCAAAACACATGCTACAAATTATTAAAGTAAATATATTATTCCGCGCAACTAGAATTGATACTATAACTGATTAATGAAATCAGTATTTCTATTTAGAACGAAGACTACAATTCAAAAGAAAATTTTAGAAAAAATACAATTGCAAAATAAATACTTAAAAGTTGAGAGTACTGATAGGACATTCAACAAACTGTTCAAACATGAAACAATGGAATTTTGCTTTCCCGTATACATATGTATATACAAAGTAATATACGTAGTAGAGGAAAAGTTATGGCGCGGAAAAAAAAATTTCAACAGAAATTCATGTTTTGGGGTCCCGATACCAAAAAAGTGTTTTTTGCAGAATGTTCATCTGTCTAGCGCCTAAACCATGCATAGGATTTTTTCCAAATTGAAGAAACCTGTGTAGATCTGGCTCGAGTTGAATCTTTGAAATTTTGCAATTCTTTTTTTTTTAATTTGGGGGTACTTATAAAGAGCCCCCAGGACATTTTCAAAATTTTCTCAAAAAGGCTCCAAATTTTTTTTTTAAATTTCTTGTAAGAATAGAGTAACATATAAGATGACACAGGTTATAAGACTTATAAGATGACATAGGTTCGATTTTCTCTGTTAAATCTGAATTTTCAAAAATTTCAAAAGTATTAATTTTTTTCTGTGTCTTCCTACAACTACAAAATTGAAGATATATATTTTTCCTTCAAATAAAATTTGTTTTCCATAGGGAGTTCTTTCAATAAGATCATGTAAATTTCTTTTGAAATTTTTAGTAGTTTTCACACAATAGTGCATGCAATATGTGCAATTATAAAAAACTACAAAAATAAACTTTTGGTAGGGATAGTGCTAAATGTACTCTATAAGATGACATATACGCCATATTACTCAATTCTTTTGTGTTTTCAAAAATTACAAAAATGTAATTTTTTTGACTTACCTCTCATGTTGTTAATATTTATATTACCGGCAATTTGTTCACATTCTTGTACTTATGAGTACATGTGCTTTAAATAATGTCATATAAATTGTCTAGAAAACTCAAAACTCCGGATTTTCAGAAACGCTCAAATGCCATTTTCTCAGAAACAGCTCCAAATTTTTTCTTCAATCATTTCGAACAGATAGTGATAACTGCACTCTTTAATATGACATGAAGTTAATTTCAGTGTATTCTTTTTTGTTTATAAAAAAATAAAAACCACAAATGTAAATTTTTTTGAAAGATCTCTCATGCCATTGATATGCACATTTCCAGCAATTTGTAAACACTATTGTATTTGAAAGTTAAAGTACTTCAGCTCTTCCAGTTAAATGACTTCAAATTAAGTTTTTCAAGAACTTAAAAATTTTCTGTGAAAAAGAGCTTCAAATTTCAAATTTACAGTAGCTCTTAAATGCCAGTTTTTCAAAACAGCTCAAAATTTTTTTAAGAAAATTACCATTTAGGACTAGGTTTTACTGTTCTTTAATAATCTTAAAATAATATTTCCACTCTGCAATTAGAAAACCTAAAAATTAGGAAAATGTCAATAAAATGTAATTTGGACGGTGATAGAGAGCAGCAGGCAAGAATATATGGCTAGTTTAAATAGCTAACCAAGATCAAAGGAAACAGAAAACTAATATGGGAAAGTCTGTGCTATTCTGTAGAAGCACTAGTTTCATTTCAGAACCTAGCATGTACCTACAAAATTGCAAGTTGTAAATAATTGCAAGTTGAATACACCTACAAATATCTCCTTTCTTATGTGTCCCTGAAAAATCCAATTCTTGTGAACACCCAATAAATTGGACATAAACAAATGAAAATAACTTATATTTCAAAACTAAGGGAATACTTTTCTTATAATGTAACAAAAATTGTTTCACAAATTTCATATATAATTAAAGACACATTTTTTGAACAAACACAGGTATGAATTATGAACATTAATATGATTTAAATACTATATTTCTCTCAAAGTGCTTTACAATTTCCCTCTGAATAAACAGAGGAATACATGGCGATACGTCAAATATCCGTTATCTTACCTACTCCAGGCAGACAGTCAAAATGAGAGTTTTGCCAGAAACTGAGTTTTCAGTGTGACAGATCCGCTAACTTATCAGGACTAACATGTTGATTTTAAATACACAATAAGTTAAAGGAAGTAATTTACTATATATAGGAACAAGACTGATACACTTTTGCAATATCAGGGGCCCTCAATACAAGTTTATCTGACAAAAATTGCCACTTTTAGCTGCAGTATTACAATACTGTTTTTTAATAAGTAATTACAAATGTGAGAAAGTAAAAGCAGATGACACCAAAATTCTCATAAGAAGTTTGGTGTCATGAAATGTCACCTTTGACGTTAAAGCAGAGAATGTGTTGATGAGATATGATGGAGAGACTTTCAACGTGGGAACATACATTTGCAACATGTATACACCAAGTTAAACGAAAGTTGGGGGACTGAATTTAAAAGACTTTTGAATGCATAACAATTCATTTAACTTAGCGTTTAATTCATCTACATCAATTCCATTTGAGATATTTTCATTAATTTTCAGGAAAATATGGTAACCCAGAGAAAACATTTTTAAATCAACATACAAATAAATAAGTAGACTAACTTACTCGGTCCACATACTGGCACACTTGTCACTGTAGCTGTGGGCTGAACCACCTTAGCAACACTACTCATCATTGGTGTTCCAGCAGTACCAGGGGGTGGAGGTGATATACTTCCATCTGGAGGATTCCATACACCACCTTTCGGAGTAAGTGTTCCCCCTGCTAACAGGGTATAATAAAAACATTAATACTATAATATATTAAAAGTAGAATTATACAAAAAAACACTAAGCTAACTGTCAAAACTAGCATCTCATTCTCTCAATATCTATTAACAAAGTTTGGTGAATTTTTAACAATATCATTGAAAAAGGAACTTTTACAGACACTAAAATTCTGAAACGTAAGAAGAAAACAGAACAAAGAAACAAGAAAAAAAAAAACACAAATAGCTCAACAAAAGTACAAGAAAATCAAGGAGTTCAAAATATTCATGTAATATTCATTGGACTGAAAATAACTAGTACTTTTTTTTAATTTAAATATATGAATATATGCTATGAATACAAATTTATAAGAAATTTTAAGGAAATATCTACGCCACATCTGAAGAATTTTGAAACATGGTAAGTCATTCAGTTAACATGCAAAAGCAAATATACAAACACACTGGACACATTCTCAAACAAATACCCAGAAAAAAATGTCAATGTAGCTCGCTTCTTAAAAAGCAGATCAGGTGCAAGGAGAGGGTAGATCAGATACAATGCGATTGTGTGACAGGTTGGAGAACAGAATGCAAGTGCTTTGAATTTTCAATTACAAGAACATTCAATTTATGTGGATAGTGTTTTCCAGGCTGATAGACTGTAGACAATTTGGAAATAGTCATTCATTGACAGTGTGATAGTGGGCAATGCAGCCTCTTGGTCAGCTCCTGGCCCACTGCCTTTGTAGATGTCTTCCACAGTTGCAGACAAAATGTTTGGAAGGACGATTTCCCCTGCACCACAAACTATCAGTGTCGAAAACAATATTAACATTTGGTTTAATTTGTGGTTTATACCTTATGCAGGTGTTGGAAAATAATTGAGCTCTGTCTTATCCACATATATCAACATAATTTACAGCTATATTTTACATATTGACGGGGACGTAAGTCGCCTGATTCAACTATTTAACTATAGATTTTATTTCCTTTAGGTTGTAAGAACAATTTTTACTAACATCATAGGTGAACATGGATTTTTCTTTTTAGATTTTGACACTTGTTTAATACATGTTGGTCATCTGAATCCATTAATACCCTTACTTTTGTTCTATCACATCACAATTTTCAATAATTTCAGTAATTGTGATCAAAAAGATATTGAAAATGAACACATTATCACACATTAGAAGTGCAAATATCTATTTGTGATCGTTGATTATGTCAGTTCATTTTTCATCATTTGTAACAGAACACAGCCAGATTGCAGCACATTACAGTGTTATATTCATTGACCTACGAATACATGTATACCTAGCTTTATGCTTATGATAGCAAACACTGTGCAAAAGTTAAATCAACCAGTATTGATAAGGATATTTGAATGTATCTCAAGCAGTGCGTTTCGAAGGACTAGTTTGTGTGTTTAAATATTTGTTGTGCTACTATAACCACGCAAAGACAGTGTGTGAATGACCCAAATACATTTTGTTATATTTGTGAACGTTTTACGACTGCAAAACAGAAACAGAATATACCTTCATTTGTTAGAAGTGTTTATAACGCTTATTTTTGAATGAAACCATGGGATTAGGACAAACTGTGGGCCCCTCTTAAAGTGCACAGTGTTTGTATTGTAGAGTTAAGAAACTGGTTGAAGGGGAAGAGGAAGGCACTGAGTTTTGGAGTTTCTATGGTGTGGTGTGAGCCAAAGAACCATCTAGACAATTGTTATTTTTGTATTTGCTAAGTAAAAGAATTCAATACAAAGAACAGACACGGAATAGTTTATCCTGATTTGGAATCTGCTAGAAGACCTGTACCATATGGCACTGATGTTCCTATACCACAACCTCCTTTGCACCTGGAAGTACTGCATTCTGATTCAAGTTCAATGCGAGTTGAAGAATCTGATTGGACAAGCAGGAAACACAAACTCAAACCTTTAACACAAACAGAACTGAACAATTTGGTCAGAAATTTAAGTCTCTCAAAGGATGGTTCTGAAGTTCTAGCTTTACTCCTGAAAGAAAACAATCTTCTAGCTCCAGGAACAAATGTTACAGTTTACAGACATAGAGAGAAAGACTTAGAATGTTTCTTTAATCAGGAAAACTCCTTACTATACACAGTCCATCCCACAGAAAAGGTGACTGATTTTATATTCGCGGAACCAATCACATAATCTGTGATCTGATGCAGGAACTAAGTAGTGTTGTGTTTCGACTACCTTCCGTTTTAAAAGGAACAACACTGGCATTACAGACTGCTCGCAGTAAATAAAACTGCAACAGTATGTTTTGACCCTCGGTCGTGAAAAGAGGAATGGAGCAACGTGCAAACATTAAGTTTTGTTTCAAAGTGGGTAAAAGTGCCTCAGAAACTTTTGAAATGATACAAAGTGTTTATGGTAGTGAAGCAATGAGTCGTAAAAACGTTTTTAAGTGGTATGCAAGATTTCATGATGGAAGAGAAAGCATTGAAGAAGATACACGTCCAGGAGCATCAGCGACAGTTCGAGTCGAAGAAAATGTTCAAAAAGTGGCTGAAATTCTTCGAAATGATCGTTGTGCATCTACCAGGTTAATCGAGCTGGAATTCCTAAAACAACTGTGCATCGCATATTGACTGAAAATCTGGTCAAAAAGAAGATCTGTTGTCACTTTGTGCCTCACTCACTCACGGACGACCAAAAGCATTGCAGAGTGGGACACTGCAGAGACATGAAGCGATCGGCCGATGAGGACGCACACTTCCTGTTATGCATCTTAACCGGTGATGAAACATGGTGTTTTCAATACGAGCCACTTACAAAGCACCAGAGCTCGGAATGGAAAGGTCCAGAAACGCTGAAACCGAAAAAAGTGTGAATGCAGAAAAGTCGCGTCAAGACACTGCTCACAGTTTTCTTTGATTCCAAAGGAATTATCCATAAAGAATTTGCTCCAGAACGTCAAATGGTGAACGCACATTACGACTTGGGTGTTCTAACTTGTTTATGGTCGAGGATTGTTCGGATGAGGCCTGAATACCGCAACCAAGGAACTTGGTCTTTGTTGCACGACAATGCTCCAGCGCACAAAAGCAAGATCGTTCGCAAATTATCAGCTGAAAAAGGTATTGTTGCGCTTCACCATCCTCCTTATTCGCCGGATTTAGCTCCGTGTGACTTCTGGCTATTTCCCAAACTGAAAATGGCCATGAAAGGACGGCGTTTCGACACGATTTCCGATATCCAGAAGGCTACGACAACGGTCCTGCAGGCAATTGCAAATGTTGACTATCAGAAATGGTTTGAACAATTTTTCCAACGCGTCCAGTTGTGTACTGACTCACAAGGAGACTATTTTGAATAAAAAATCATGTACACTAAGAACAAGCACGTCTTGTATTTTATTTCCCATCAGTCACCTTTTCTGTGGACGGACTGTGTATTGCACTCACATTCCAAACGTCATAAATGTTAGGAGGAGAGTATAAAACAGATGAATGGAGGCTTTTCATTGATGCAAGCAAAAGAAGTTTAAAAGGTGTGTTGCTACACATTGGTAACACTTTACCATCTGTATCAGTTACATATTCCATCCATCTTAAGGAGACATATGACAATCTTAAATTGCTACTTGAAAAGGTAAATTATGAAGAATATAAAAGGATGATCTCCAGTGTTTTAAAGGTTTTGTACGTGTTGTTAGGACATGGTTACACCAAGTACCTATGTCACATTTGTGAATGGAACAGCCAAGATAGAAAGAATCATTGGACAACATTAGAATGGCTTTGAAGAAACACTGATTTCAGGTTCCAAGAACTATAAAAAAACAGTTTAGTAGATTCTGACAAAATTTTGTTACTTGTCTTACATGTTAAATTGGGACTAATGAAGCAATTTATTAAGACACTGGATAAGAATGAAAGTTGTTTTAAGAACCTAACCGACAAATTTCCCACCCTCTCAGAAGGAAAAGTCAAAGACAGTATTTTTGTAGGGCCACAGATCAGAGAACAAGCTAAAGATTAACATTTTGAAGCATATATAACACCTCCAGAAAGGGAAGCTTGGATTGGCTTCAAAGAAGTAGTTCATAAGTTCTTGGGAAATTATAAGGATCCAAACTATGAGTATTATGTAAATAATATGCTGAAAAAATATGAAGCCTTAGGATGTATCATGACCCTGAAAATGTATTTCCTTCATCCTCATTTAGACTGTTTTCCAGGAAACCTGAGAGCAATGAGTGAAGAACAGGGTGGGAGGTTTCACCAAGATATTAAGACATTGAAAAGGGCTACTAAGAGCAATGGAATACATCAAAGATGGCTGACTACTGTTTGTTATTGCAACGAGATGATCCTACTAGAGTGCACAAGAGAACTAGTGGAGCAAGATGATTTTTATCCAAGCAACAATGGTTCTATTGACTGCTCTTAAAAGTAATTTTAACATTAAAGCCAATATCAACATATTAATAAACTAAATAAATCAATTTGGATTGAGGGGTACATCAACAAGTAGGATTGCTAGTTATCCACAAAAAACTAATTCGAGGAATATAAATCTAGATCTATTTTGGCCTACTTAATTAAGTTGTTTCACGAATGGGTCAGCCCTAATTGTACATTTTTAATAAATATTTTAAATTATGCAGTTAATGAATGCAATTAGACTGAAATACAAACATGTAGCCTTAATATTATTGTTGTTTTTGGTTATTATTGTAACATATATTGTATAAAAGCGGCTCCACACAATCGGCATTCGCCAAGCTGCGAGCCAGAGTTCGCCCAATCCCGAACAGCTGATGTGTTCGGAGAATGTTCACTCCCTTTGATGTGGCCTCAACACCGACATGCGGTGGGTAGGGCGAATTCCAAAAGGGGCGAATTGCAAGCAACCCGTCCACACTATTCGGGATTCGGCGAGCGGTTGCCCAGGATTTGGCGCATACCGCATGTGTGGAGTCGCCTTTATATTCATATTATGTGTAATGGAAAGCTTATGTATTTGGGCATATTTGCCCAATCAATGAAATAAATACATTTTACATAAAACAACATTAACTCAATTTTTCATATTCAATTGTTGCCTCTATTAATATTTATTTAAAGTAAACCCTTTTTCAAATTGGCCCATTTTGTCTCACTCTTTGTCCACTTGTAATAATAAAAAATTATAAGCAACTAAAAATCTTTCTACTAACGTAGAACTAAGCCAAGACCCTATGTCCATTCAACATAGATTCACAACTTGACATAGAAATGGAAGGAAACAAAAACTCAAAGGATATATAGCTGAATTCGGTTATAGTGAACTCTAATATAGTGAACCCTCGGTTATAGTGAACTTAAATCACTGGCCCCGTTTCACTTACATTAGAAAGAAGTATAAGAAGACTGTTAAAGTGAACCTGAAACTTGGCTATAATGAACGTAGGAAATCCAACATCCTGAAATTATTTCCCTCCTGGAAAAGAATATATCACCTCACTGCCACAAATTTCAACACTAGGCAGCTTGAAAAAATAATGGCCAAAGACCATAATAGAAGAAGTGTCCCCTGGGGTGAAGGCAGGAGACCAAGAATGGACACCATACTGATAACGTTATGCCACTTAGTTTCACTGCAGAAAGGAAGACCGTGTCCTGCTTGGGAAACAACTTGCGGTGGTGATACACGATTACTTACTTCAGTATCAATCTTGGTGTTACTTGATATTCTGTGGGTTAAAGTGCGTTGTGTTCTACATTGGCGATAGGAAGCACGCAACTGGCACAGCTTGGCAATATTCGCCTTGACAAGTGGAAAAGCAATCGATTTCAGTAGCTGCATCCAGCTACTGAAAGCATCTCATATATTATTTAGTGAGTAAAAGGGCCTTCCAAGATGGGACGTTATTCCGACAGTGCAAGAGGTATTGAAGGGTGTCAAGTCAGCATTACGATAATTAAGATACAGAGGACAGTATAGAAGCAATTATGGTTAGAGCACGAACTCACGAACTGTGAAGAAGGATCTAGAGGAATTACTAATGAAAAAGTACGAAGCAAACAATGGAAAAGAAATTTATTTTTTAAGGGCAAATAAAAATGTTAAAACTTTTCAGTTTGTGGTGTTAATGTATTTTGCTATATCTCTATATTAATAAAATCAATCATTATGGAGAAATTCTGTTAAATTTCGTTATCATTGGATATAGTGAACCAAAAATGTTAGTCCCCAAAAGTCCACAATAATCGGGGTCGACTGCACATAAACAGAAACAGTAAAATCAGCACACTATTGTATGTAGACAACCTAACACTGATAACAAACTCTTGAGGATAAACTTCAAAAATCAGGTCACACATTGTGGAAAATAATAAGGTAAAATAAAATGAAAATTTCACTCAAGAAAAGTAGGGTGTTCCATGTAAATGAATTAAAAACACCAAAGATAGTAATAGAAGCATCAATCGTAGAACAAATAATTGTATTGAATTGATGCCATATTTTACGTGGCGAGCCTCGGGCCATCAGGCACGCTCTTCCATCTGACCACGCAAATTTCGCTACGCTCCTTTCACCAACTTAGAAGAGAAAGGACGTATTTCACGGGCGATGAAACAGGAGATTAGAATGTAGCTCAGAGGCATCATTTAGGCTTGAAGACCTTTTACACGCAAGTAAATCTACTAATGAGAAATCTGATAGGAAAATTACAAGGAGAGAGAAATGATAACATGAGAAAAAAAGAACTCAAAGGCACAAATGCAAAATTAAAGAAATCAAGCCTTTTGGCTCAGCACTCATCAAAAGAATGTGAAGCATCCAATTCCCTAGAATCATTCTACACAACAGACAACACAACACCACACCACACCAGACCAAAAGGAAAAATACTGAGCGACCCCAAATGAAATGGGAGAAGCGGGTACACTTAATGGACTAAACTATAAAGTTTACTGCAAGCACAAAAGGCACAGGCCAGGAAGCCTAACCCTCTGCATACGCATGATAATTATGAAAATAATAACTGGATTAAAAAGAACCTAAAAGGTTACCTTGTAATACAATTATGTAATTAAGGAACACATCCTTAATATTATGTACTTTTAAATTGACATTAGATAATCCAAATATTGAGTAATCAGAAAAAAGTTTGTCTTGAAATTCATATTCCAATTCATGTTCCAATCATATTCCAATAAATAACTCCAATTATAGTGAACTCGGATATAGTGAACCTAAAGTCACTGGTCACATTTCACTTGCATTACTAATAAGCATAAGAATATTAGGTTATAATGAACATAGGAAATACAATGTTTTGGACATTAATTCCCTCCTGGAAAAGAATGTATCATCTCAATGTTACAAATTCCAACACTAGTCAGCTTGAAAAAAATATCGGTCAAAAGTGATAAACAAAGAAGTCTCCCCTGTGGTGAGGATAGTGGACTTGGAATGGGGACCTTACTGATGACCTTATGCCACTCAGTTTCATTGCGGAAACAAAGTCTGTGTCCAGCATGGGATACAACTGGCGGCAGCGCCGCATGATTGCTTTGCTTCAGTATCAAGCTTGGTGTTACTCGATATTTTGTAGGACAAAGCACTTTAAATTCTACATAGAGGACAGAAAGCATGCAACTACCACAGCCTGGGGATATCCACTGTGGCACACGGAAAACCAATCAGTTTCATTAGCTGCTTGTGCCATGTCGCTACTGAAAGCATCTCGTATGTTATTAGGCGAGTAAAAGAGCCTTCGGAGGGTGGGTCGGAGTTCCAACAGTGCAAGAGGCATTGAAGGGTGTCATGACTGCATTACGATACTTAGACACAAATGGTAATACAGAATCTAGTATGGAAAAAGCAACAACTCTGGAGAAGGATCTAGAGAACTTAGTAACTAAAAATATACGAAGTTAACATCTGCAAATAATTAATTTTTTAAGGACACAAAATTATATATATTTAATTTTGACATTATCAAATATAGTGAACCTCTGATAAAGTGAACCAAAAATGTTAGTCCCCAGACGTAACCAGAGTCGACTGTATTATGTTGGAAATTTTGTTAAATTCCAATTTTTGAAGTTATATTTTGATAAATTGAAAGCTACAGTTTTGATGATTTTAAAACAGTATAATAGTCAGGACCACTCTTGTTATGGAATGTACAGTATGCTGGAGTTTTTTGAAGGTGAAATCCAAATTCCGTGGTTGGTACTGGCCAAAACAGATATTAACACCGACTTCATAAATCAAGTACTGGTTATACAGAAAGGAAATCGTTATATGTAGCTACAATTTGGAAATAAAATCAGTTGTAACTGTCGGTTCAATAAACAATCAATATAACCTGAATTTTAAGGAAACCAGATATTGTTACAGATTGGTTCCCCCGAAATAAAACATTTAGACATTATTGTCAATGAAGTGACACAATCACTATTTAGTTTGTTGTTCAAATGGTTGTGATAGTACACCTAAAATTCTTTCTCAAGGAAGTATTGAAGCAAGCATCATTTTACCTAGAGAGTAAGGGAATGTATGTACGGTTTATGGTATTAGAGAAAATTGAAGTTTCTGACGCAGCAAAATGAATTATAAAGATGTATGCTACAGCTAAGAAACAAAAATGGCCAAACATTATCATTGTTCATAAAAAAGACAAAATCAGTTTCGTATTTTTCAGGATTTTATTTGAACCTTTTGAGTCATTCATTTGTTCATCTTGGATATCAATAAATAAAGGCATTGAAGTGGCAGCAACTGATGAAAAATTTTCATCACAATATCTTAAATGTAACAATAAAGGTTTAAGGAAATTAATTTTTTGGTTAATTCAAATACAGGATGGTTTGACTTTTTTCCAAGTCCAATTCCAGATAAAGCTCCCAATTAAAGGGAATTCACTGTATTGTCCACTTGAATGTCTACTCTAATAATCTAGGTAACACAATACAAAATAAGTAACAGTGTTTTCTTTGAATGTGTTTATCAATAGACAATATCATTGTGAATGAACGTGTGTTATACATCTTGTTCGATATTTAAACATGATACTGCATGGTATGAAAATAAAAATATAACAAAAATGTTCTAGTCGTTTTCAACAATTCAAAAGCCAAAGTCATGTCTCAGCTTTTACAATTATATGGCATGGTGATGAAAGGGAAAAGTAAAATAAAATAGTATTCGGGAATCTTGATGGCATGCAAAACATGCCATAAAACTCACTACTAACACATTTACCAAAGTTGATATAAAACTACTGAACTGACTTATGCCATTAAAAAAACCTGCTTTAAAAACTTGCTGGTGTATAAGTTCAGCACTTTAAGCAGCATTTGTTTTCACAAGCAATACTAACGCAATTCACTACTAATTTCAGAAGTGTTTGAGTCTTATATCCACAGAAATCTCCCAAACAAGTTTCAACCTCTAAAGAAATTGCGCTATAAATGTGATGCCACTGAACTATGCCATATTTCAATGCAAAAATAGGCTATGATGGTTAATACACATACTAACCTGTTAAGGCCCAGCATGCTCCTTGAAAAAAGCACAAACAGAATCATCAATGAACATGCAAAGACCAATCTCCACAAGTATTCGAAAAACCCAAAAGTAGTGTTGAAAACTTCTACTTTTAACATGTTTCCTTAAATAAAATATGACAGGAATTTTTGTGCTTCTGTTCACATCTGTGCACCTTGTCTAGATGGATAAGGAAGAGGATTAACTGTGAAAATGTGAGTTACAGCACGAAGCACCAATGTCGCAGTACTGCTGCTCCTAGTGTGAAAATTAGAAATAACAAGGACACATCACATAATTTGACAAGGTATTTATGGAAGACAGCAGTGAACAACGAAATAGTAAATACCATTAACGAATGTTGTACTTACTTGGAGGCTGGCCTCCTCCTGGACCAGGGCGAGGAGAACCCTGAGGAGGAATAAGAGTAGGCTTTGCAGGAGGCTGGGGTGGAGTTCCTACACCAGGTCTAGGTAAAGCCATTCGAGGGGGACTAACGCTGGCAGCTCCAGCCTGGAACATGGCCACTTGATGGGCCTCGGCTAGCTGCTTCTTGAAGGACTCAGCTTCTGCTCGAGCTTTTTGAAGTTCACTTTCCAGTTCTTTTACTCTATAAAGAAAAAATTCAAATCAGTGTCAGCAGTCAATCTTTTTAAACTATTTATGATTTATTCCCACATTTAATTATTTAATATGGGATACAAAGGCAATTATATTTTGAAGTTCGCAATGAGTGAGGAGTAGATTTCTCTACACTCCTCATATATGTTGATTTTTGGTTTACAGCTGGCTGTTTGCAGACTTATGAGCCACTTTAAATGTTTACTAAAATTTACTATCTATTTATTTATTTATTTATTTGAGGTCAGAACAAATATGGAACAAATTTTGACTTTTCCACAAAGCATGATCTCATATCCTGATTCTCTACAATCTACAAAGCCTAACCTCAATTCTGATTTCCCCGCTAAGTAGGATCCCCAAAAACTTTTCCAATGCTTGTAAAAAGGTGAGCTGTGATGATCTAGGAAACTTCCTGCATTACAGAATTTAGAGTTATGGCACAAATCAACTGTGCAATGTGATGAAAAGTGATGACTGGTCTTGTCAACGAAGAAGGCATTCAACTTCTGAATAACCAAAAACAGTTAAGAAGGCTAAAAAGAACTAAGCAATTTGAACAAATAAAACCGTGTAAAATTGCTTCATGAAATTTTATCTAATTGAAAGACAAAAGACATTATTGAGTGCATATGTAAATAGTCTTTTAACCTAGATTAAAGAATCAATATACATGTATACAGTAAATTGTTGGTTGGTCACTCTTAACCATGTGTGAGTCAATGTTTTGGGCCAGACAAACTGACTACATTTTAAATCATATTTCTTTCAAGAAACAAAAACTGTAACTTACTTCTTCTCTTCCTTACTCATTTGCTGCCTCATCTGCTGCCTTTCAATTTCAAACTGTGCCAACTGTTTTTCCAATTCTGCTTCCATTTGTAAAGATTTTTTACTCTCTTCCTCTAGCCCTTCTGCCATAGAATCATTTCTGGCCTTTTCTTCAGTAAGAATCTGCAATAAATTATTAAATACACCTGCAGGGCCAACACTTCCATTGTCATCACAAGATAAACCCTTTTATCTGACCTCTCCACACTTTCTAACTTAACCAAATTTAGTCTATAAAATCTCAAATTTCAAGAGAATTTCTCTATGTAATGAAAATAATAATAATAATAGCAATAGTAATAATCATAATAATAATAATAATAATTTATTTACGAAAGAATTACGTTGGCGATGTACAAAAACCATTACCCTAAAAACAATAAGAAAGAATACCACTTTTGTTTGACTACTTTACATACGTTACACATCCTGTTTAACCTTTCAGTAAAAATACTGGTCTCATTAGATTTAAATTTTAAATTTAAATCAATTTATTACATTTATTTTATCTTGTTCGGTACACTTTAAACCCTCTCTAAGTATTTTATGTACTTGTCAGAGAGGGGTGTGTTACACTGTAAGTTTGTTTTGTTTTTTCTTTTTCTTTTTTTCTTTTTTGTATTACCGTTGTTGATTATAGTTCACCCATCATCAGTACTGTTTGCCAGTTACTGTATGATGCGTGAATTGTTTTGATTGGAATTTAGATTTTTTTCAAGGAAACTCAACAGGCAAAAAGAAATCAAAATCATCAAATTATCTAAAATAACAAATAAATTGTAAATAAATAAAAAGAGATGTCAGTTGGCAACAGGCTAATATGAAAACTAAGTTATACTTAATTACCATTTTGAAAATTTGTAGTTACAAATCAACAAGCAAAGCGAAATAAAATTATTACCTAAATTAGCAAATCAAGAAACAAATAGAACTTCTATGCTCAATGGCAGCTGACATTAACTTGAGTTAAATTACGCAAAAAAAAATCACAATCATCCAATTATTATCTAAACTAAAAATTAATTGTAAAACAAAAAAGAAATAGAATAACCAAATTAAAACCAAATAACTGAATGAGTGTAATAGGAACATTATACATTTCTTACAAATTTGAATCTTGTGATGAGGTAGTTTACAGTATCAGTGAAGATTTAGTTGTACATAATTAACAAAATAAAATCTTGTAATGACAGTATAGCAGTTAATAACTGGCAAAAATGAGAGTTATGTTTTACTTAATTCACAACTTACAAACTTGTAATGACATATCAAAAATCTAAAAGAATTCCCTCCCCCCAAAATTTTTTTTTAAATTAACAAATAAATTGATAATAATAAATAATAATAATAATGAAAAAATATTTATCTGATTAATTTAAACTTACCAAGAAAAAATTGCTAAATAACATGAATGTTATGAAATAATTCAATGTGATAAAAATTGTAGAAATTCAAACTTTTAGTACCACCTTCCCTAAACCTTAGATGACAGTAACAAAATATATTAATGCTATTTCTTCAATTTTCAGATTTTCTACATCCCTTTTCTTCCTGTTTGAAACATTTTGAGTGTTGTAGAGGACTAAAAGTAGAGAAAATGTAACAATGAGTACAGAAATGTCTGTGATAACAGAAAAACCATTGACTTGCAATTGATGGATTGACAATTACCATCCTTAAAAACTTAATAGAACCGAGATAGAAAAGAAAAAACAGTTTAATTCCTTAGAGGACTTTTTAAGATAATATTTAAAAAAAAAGATAGGTGCCATAACGAGCAACAGGTTGAGTTACTACAGGTTATATACACAGCATACATTCAAAGAGATGTCCTAAAAGCTCAAAGGAAAGCAGCCTTGAATTTCTTTCATTACAAATTAACAGAAGAAATTACGTTTTAATAGTGTTCGGCAAAAGACTTGAAACTGCTGCAAATTAATACAATTTTCTACATTTGGCTGTCTGGAAGACGCCGTGTTCTAGGCACAGATGCCAATTTTTCAGGCATCATACTGCAATCTTTCTTAGGGCGAAATGCCTGAGATAACATCATTTTTCTTACCTGAGCTAAATCTTCGGAGCGCTTCCTTTCTTCAATGTATTTCATAATTATTTTTTTTCTTTCAGTCAGCAATAAAAGAACAATATGCTTCTGTCTATTACGTTCTTCCTCTAAAACATCATTAACTTTTTTCAAATCTTTCTCCAATTTCTTCTTATTTTGTCTCTCTAATTCTAATTCCTGTAAAATAGAACTGTATCGTAAGAAACAAATACTATGAAATGACCTTTCAAAAGTCATTAAAAAACTTCAAGAGTATAAAAAATTTTCCAATAGTCAGTGATAAAAAATTTGCAGTGACAGTTGTTCAAAGATACAATATCACAAAGTGTTGTTAGTGAAACCAACACATCTAAGAGTTTAATGGAATATAAAGACAACTAACATATCAAGAACACATGATTTCTGGTGATTTTTAGAAAAATGTCTTTCACAATATTTTTCAAAAGCGTTTTCGGGGGGGGGGGGG